AAAAAATAATAATTAACTATTACTAAATAATTACTTCTTATGTTTTATGTTTTGCCCTTAGTGCAAAGCATAAACAAACCCACAATTAAAAGAGAAAGAAATATAAGCTACTATAAACTATAATTAGATTCCTAAATAAAAAATAAATAAATATAAAACAACATATTATATAGGTTATAGATTTTGACATTATAACAGCTGCTACATCATTTTGGCAAAATTTTCAATGCCTCTCTTAAAGTAGGCAAAAACCTACTTTTAGTCCTTTAGTCCCTCACCTTGATAAATTTCAGGTTTTAACCCTTTACTTTATATTATTACATTTTTAGCTCTTCATCTTACTAAATTTCTAGATTTTAACTTCTTATCTTATATTATAACATTTTTAGTATCTCACCTATTAAAATTGAAGAAAATAGCCCTCACTTTGTAATATTTTATTAATTTTATTAATTAACTGTTAACTTTATTAATTGATTATTAATTGACTGTTAGTTAAAAAAAAAGTTTTTGACAACTAATAAAATTAACATAACTAATTTTATAATATTTCGTTAATTCTGTTAATTGACTATAAATTAACTATTAATTGATAAAAATCTACTTCAGCTAACAGAGTTAATAATCAATATAAAGTGATGATTATTTTCCTTGATTTTAATAAGTAAAGGATTAAAACCTATAAATCTAATAAGGTTATAAATTAAAAATGTTATAATATAAGGTAAATGACTAAAACTTTCAAACTTGATAAGGTGAGAGATTAAAAATATGTTTTTGCCGCACCTACAAAACTCATCCCGATGAAAGTAGGCCCCATTCTTCCTTGACCAATACGAGTTGCGTAAAGGGTTTTGCTTCAGCTCAACACCGTCATTACCGCCACAAAATCACACCATTAGGTAAACATTAGGCATGTGGGTAAAATTCTCTATATTTTGAACCATAAATTTACACTTCAATCCTAACATAACATAAAAGGAAAAAACCATAGCCTGGGATTTTCTCGAAACCATAGTGGCGGTGATTACAGTCCATCATCACCTACTTACCGTACCCATATTTATCTTTAATCACGGCCATAGAAAAGCTTAAAACACATCCAACGGTCAGATCTTTACATGTGGTTTAACTTGGATGGCTGATGATTACAAAACACCATCAACTATACCGTAGTGGCGATACACCCAATTTAATCTGATGTTGTTAAATTCTACCGCTACGAAAACATCCCTAGAGTAGAGAACCCATGAGAAAAAAATTAGCCATGTTCTACCAGCTCGCCGTAGTGCTGTGTCTCCTGGTGAACACAGTCGCCAGAGATGTTAACTTCACCTATAATGGGTTTCGATCGGTGAATTTGAGCCTCGATGGTCTAGCAGAGGTCACTTCCAATGGACTCTTGAAGCTTACCAATGATACCCAGCAGCAACAGGGTCATGCTTTCTA